CTACTCCTACTACTACTACTACGACGACGACGACGACGACGACTACGACTACTACGACTACTACGACTACTACGACTACTACGACTACTACGACGACTACTACTACTACTACTACTACTTCTAGTACTGCTACTACTACTACTACTACGACGACGACTACTACTAGTACTACTACTACGACGACTACTACTACTACGACGACGACTACTACTATACTACTATTACTACTACTACTATTCAATAGTGGATTCCGGAATCAGGTCACGCCGCCTGTCCGCAATTCAACGCAAGTCTGTCACGCATCATCCATGTCCAGTGCAAGACATTCAACGTCCTGAAGATACATGGCCTTTCGGGGCGTGCTCGCGTGGGCGAGCTTCGATCCAAACTTCCAAAATTTCAGGGACAGCGCTTGAGATATGAGCATGCTGCACAAACACAGGTTGAGGCGCTCTGCTGCGAAGTACTTCGTGGCTGCCCTTTCATGAGGCCTCGCTGCGTTCCTTTTTTTGCAGACTGCGCGCCAAATCTCACTGTCAGGTCCAGACCCAAAAAATTCCTTGGAAAGCGCTCAGCATGTTTTCGGCCACGAGTTATGTAGGAGGTCATCAGGCTGCCGCTGGACGACGCACTGCGCGGGGCAGCGTACCCAGAAAGCGGCAGTTGCTGTGGAGCCATGAACGGTCAGGGGCGAGCGCTACCTGAAGAGTGCTAAGCCAGAGGGCGGCTCTCAGGAGAGGCAATGCGCGTTGCGATGTCTGCTTCTTGCTGACTGGCATTGCCGGCTACAGCGGTGGGTTAGAAACTTGCAGGCTGACTCCTATACCTTCAATGAGATGCGGAAGCAAACACAGCCACGCGGCGATCCGTTTTTTAGTTCCAGAAGCGCGTTGGTTGGGCATCCTTTTACACAGGGATGCTACACCGGCCTGCGGCTTGGACAGAGTTCACTAAACCGTGGGGGAAGCGCGAATTAGGAGCGGCATGGGCACGAGCACGAAGCGAGAGCTGCGGAGCCAAGCGCAAGCCGTCCAGGAAGGTCCCAGTACCACAGCATTCCACAGCGGGGCCCAGTGATAAGGCAGGAGCCGAGTGGCCCAGGCCAGCAGGATTCTGCGGCGACCGGGCCAGATGTCTGGCTCCATCCAGGTCAGGATCCACGCCGCAGTCTCCAGCTCCAAGGTGGGCTGAGGCAAAGTGGGAGCAACAGCGACAGGACCGCCGCCATTTGGCTGCGGCACGCCTCCTGGACCAAGCAAACCACGGTGTATCTCGTCTAGGTCTTCGTCTTCCTCCATATCTGCCCAGCGTCGGCCGCGGCGGTACATGGACATGACGGTGCGGCGACGCGAGGCAGGGGCTTCAGCGTGTCTACACAACTTGATGTACTAAAATTGCGCCAAGTAGGTGTTTAGCCACGCTGTCTGCCGCCTGTTCTAGCTCTACTTGTCTGCGGAAACGTGGAAGGTTTTGACCTTGACACGCGAAGCCGCCCAACTATTTTTTCTTGTCCTCGGAAGATAGCGGCATTTCTCGAAGCAGGTGTCGATGGCTTGACAGCTGCCGACCAGCACATGCTTCTGATGTACCTCGTCCTGCGATTAGCCCGCCGTCCACGCGGTCAAGAGGTCCAGATGTGTGGCCGCCAGGTCGATGTCGAAGGCTACGAACGACAAGACTGGAGCCGAGTTGGGCCGCTCGTTGACCACCGCCTCCGGGCTTGGGGCGCTATGGTCAGCCCGCGGCACCTGGAGGGCATCCAACAAGGCGACCTGGGACGCATGCCACGCGGCCGCGGGATCCAAGGGGCGTGTGACAGCGAAAAGCTTCTTGGCTCCATTGGGATTGGTGGAGAGGACGCAGGCCATCAATTGTAGCTTCTCCAGGAAGATGAGGGTTTCCCAAGCGAGCGAGAGGCGGTCGTCGTTGTCATCTGGCGCAGCATCGCGAAGCTTAGAATGCGAGCGAAGGCAGGTGGAGTCCAACCAGACCGTGAGCATCTGGAGCACGGTTGCCGCGAAGGCCAAGACGATGGGCTTGTGCACGGCAGTGATGCCGGCCAAGAAATCTGGAAAGGGCAGGGCACGCAAGCGCGCAATACGGGCGGCATGCGTGCGCAACGCAGCATCGGCCGCAGGGGGGCCAGCATCAGGTTTGTCGCCCCGAGCTGTCTGGGATATAGTGGCTCGCAGCTCCGAGGCCACCGCCTCACAATGCTCGCCAAGAAGGGCGGCCGCGCGCATGGCCGGCAGAGCAATGCCCGTAGGCCAAGCCTCGGGCGCGTGTCCCTGGAAGGAGGCGAGGAGGTTATGCCAGTTAAGAGCATGGCGGAGGTGCTTGCCCTTGAGCTTGCCGTGCCTTTTCGACTCTTCGTGCTGGACGAGGTAAAGCTCCTCCTGTAGCTTTACATGTTGGTCGAAGTTCTCCACAAAGCAAGCTTTTGCGGCCCCTGCATCATCGTCCACGAAAGTGTAGTTAAGGAATGGATAGTCCAGGTGGTAAGCGAAGGCAGCTTCACCGCGAGTCTGCACGTCGTGCGCGCGATAGATGTGATAGAAGCGGTCGACCAGGCGTTCTTCGAGTCGGTTGGAGCCGGGCAGATTGCCGAGCGCTCGGTTGGCTGCCTCGATCTGTATCGCGCGCTTCATGGAAGGCCTCGTGTAAAAGAAGCAGAGGCGGCCGCGGAGTCCGAGGGGGTCGGGGTTTGCGTGCAGCGGCCAGACGTCCTCCAGGTGAAGAGCCCCGCAAACTCCCAGAAAGGGATACGTCATGGAGAAGGCGCGCTGCTGGTTCACCACGTCACGCTGCCATGACATCCGCTCCCAGAGCTGTGTAGCGATGGCTCGGTTTATCCCGAACTCCGCTTGGAGCCACTGCAGAAATTGCGTCCCCTCCACGAGGAAGCCCGCGGCAGCAGTGCGCTCCTCGTTGGTCGCCATCTTGAGGCCAATGCCTTCCAAGGAGCCGGTGCCCAGCCGCAGGGACACGGCCGCGAGCTTCCGAAGGCGAGCCTTGGCAGCGGCCTTTGCGGCGGCATTGGCAGCAGGCTCCTGACGAACGCGGGCGCGCTGCTCGGCCCGCTGGCGATTGGCCCGCTGCTCCACCCCGTGCAAGACGTTGTGGTAGAGCCGCAGCAAGTTGGAAGTATTGCAAGAGCC